CAGCACTGGGGTGGGGGGGTAGGTGGCACCACAGAGACGGTGCTGGGGGGAGTTTGTTTCTTCCCAATGTCACATAAAAGTTATATGTGGATCCTGCAGCTTAGCAGGTCTAGCCGCTGTACCCACTTTATCATGGAGTGGGATGCTGCAAACCTGAACAGCAGCTTTAGGCTTTATCAGCATTAACCCATGCCTTCAGCTGGGAAACTGCTGAGCAGTAAATAAGTTTGACCTCGGTCTCAGCCCATAAGAGTGATAAGAAAGGCATTGAGCCAGGTACACACACATACGGTAAACAACTGTAGTATAATTAGTGTAGAAGGTCCCACCCCTAGCTGAGTCTCAGCCAGGCCCCCAACCTCGAGGGTTGACCAGGATTCCCCCCGTGTTGGAGCCATGTCCACTGCGTCGGCGTGCGAGGTAACCAGAATGGGACTCCCTGCAGACCTGAAGGGATGTTAGCATTCCAAGGAGCCTTTTACCCCGTTAACCATTGTTCTGTAGTGCTTTCGCATGCTAGAGTGTACCCTGTGCAGGGCCGGCCTTAAGCTGATTTGGCCGAATCGGGCCCCACACCTAAGGGGGCCCTGAACCTGGAAGTCGACTCCCTCGGCTCGGCTCCCACTTACTTGCGCTGTGCATGCTACCGGCAGCTGCTGTCGTGCGTGCTGTTTGCAGGTGGGTGTGGATTTTAAAACTGAAAAGTGCCATGCCTCCGCCGCTGCCACGGCGCATGGGGTTCACAGTCTGGCCCCACAAAAGGCAGAAGGTAGGGGAGGGGCTTGGAGAGGGTGGGAGAGGAAGGGGCTTGTATGGAGGGGAGGGAGGGGGAGAGGAAGAAGCTTGTGCGGAGGGGGAGGGGGAAGAAAGGGGAGGGTACCAAGAGACAGGGGGGAGGAGAGACAAATCCCAGGGGGCCAAGTACAGACAATGACGAAAAGGGCAGGAGGGGAGGTGTCAGTGGGAGGGGGGACAGGGTGAGGAGAACGGGGGCAGAGAGTGGTGATGGGATGGGCAACAGGGAAAAAAAGGGTAAAGAGGAGGCACGAGGAGGGTGCAGGGCTAAGGGAAGGTGCAGGTGCTGGTTCCAGGGGAAGCAGACACCTGCAGGGGAGGGACCAGCACCAGAGGAGAGAGGCAGGGCAGGTGTGTAGAGGGAGGTGTTAGAAGAGGAGTAGCTCACATGATCAGAGTGGGGCTACTGGAGGAGTGGGCACAGGGAGCAGAGAAGGGCTGGAGGAGGGGGGCAGGTTGCAGGAGGGATGAGGGTAGTGAGAAGGGCAGGAGTCAGGACAGCAGAGGAGGGTGAGGAGTTGGGGGGCAGCAGCACCAGGGGAGATGGTGGAGCAAGGAGAGGAGACATGGCAGCAGAGAGAAAAGGTAAAGGGTTATAAAATATTTATTAATAACGTGGTATGCTGCCCACGGCCAGTTTGTTTGTGCCCCACGGTGCAATTTGGGTTTATGTGAGGATCAAAACGTGGCTGGCGAGTGGGAGCCAAAACAAAAAAGTAGTCAGTGTAACGATCTTCTGTTGATATGTGTTTTAGTAGTTAAATTCTTGGACTGTTACTGCTCATGAAAAGTGCTGTCACATGGATAGAAATCGGGTAAATATTGCATTTTATTAATATCAGCAGAACTGACTTAAATGGGGCCTGTGTGGTATAGTCTTGCCTTAATCTTTGTATTCATGCTTGTCAGTGTGAGAGAAGCTATTTGTATATATTTGATTGCATGTGCAACCACACTTAAGTTGAGGCCCTCAGCATGTTCTGTAAGTATCAGTGTGGCCCCTGGGGCTTCCAAAGTTGAGTTGCCCTAGCTCATCCCAAATAGGTGTCAGTCTAACCTGGTCTTAAATATCTGCAATTTAAGTCCATTGCTTCTCATCCTAACTTCAGAGGCCAAGCAGAACAATTTTTCTTCCTCCTCCTTATGATACTCTTTTAGGGTACGTCTAGACTACATGCCTCTGTCGCCAGAGGCATGTAGATTAGGCTACCAGACATAGGAAGATGAAGCGGCGATTTAAATAATCGCCGCTTCATTTAAATTTACATGGCTGCCGCGCTGAGCCAACAAACAGCTGATCAGCTGTTTGTCGGCTCAGCGCGATAGTCTGGATGCGCGGGTGTCGACATCAAAGGTATTTGTCGGCCACCCAGGTAAACCTCCCAGAGCTTGCATCTCTCAACCCTTCCCACACCCAAGTCCCTCATTCCCACCTCAGAGCCTACACATCCTGCCTCAACCCAGCTAGGGTAAGGCTAGAATGCAGGAGTTTTTCAGGATTCCGGAGATATCCCAGAAAAACTCTTCTGTATCCAGAGATTCATTTGTTCCTCCTCTTTTTTTAGTGGAAGAGCAAACGTGCTCTTTTGGTAACACCTATTTTCCTCTTTCCAAGAGGAATAAGGGGGCTTCCAAAAGAAGGGGTTTTTCTGACATTTGGTCTGGTCTAGACAGGCCAAATGTCAGAAGAATGTCCTACAGAAGAATTGGGGAAAAAAGCAGCAGTATAAGGGTTGAGGATAGCAAGTGATGGAGAGGAGGAGAATAGAGAGGAAGGGGCGGTAGATCTTGGCTTGTTCTATCCTTTAAAAAGTGATCTTGGGTGTAAAAAGGTTGGAGACCACTGCCGTAAACTCTATAGAGTGGGAGAAAGAAACTTTTCACGCTCCCCCTGTTCAAGTGTGCCATTGGAATGTGACTTTTGTAATAGACTGTACAACAGGCAGTGTGTATTGGGCTACCAGTTATAAGCAGCAGTTTTTGAATCTGTCCCTTTCACACCCACATCTCTTATTCCCACTGGGGCTAATACCTCTCCCCCCAGCTGTCTGGGGGGAAGCCAATAGTCAACTACTCAACTACTCACATCCCTAGTTCGGGTCCTCTGAAGGTGTAGCCAGAATCCTCTAACAAGGAGTGGAAAGTAAGAATATGAAATTTCAATTATAAAAAGCAAGCAGAATGAAATAGAATAGAATCACAGCATAATAGAATTAGAAGAAACCTTGAGAGGTCATCAAGTCCACTCCCCTGCACTAATGACAGGATCAAGCATCACCTAGACAATCCCCACCAGGATCGTCTAACTTGCTCTTAAAAATCTTCAATTTTGAAGATTCCATAACCTTCTTAGGCAATTTATTCTAGTGCTTAACCACTCTGACAATTAGGAAGTTTCCCCTCATGTCCAGACTAAACCACCTGTTACCCCAGAGACCCAGGTAAGCAACTTGATACCGTGGGCTGACTATGATTTTGAGTGTCTCTACACAGAATAGTGATAGAAATGTAGCCGTGTTAGTCTGGGGTAGCTGAAGCAAAATGCAGGACAATGTAGCACTTTAAAGACTAACAAGATGGTTTATTAGATGATGAGCTTTCGTGGGCCAGACCCACTTCCTCAGATCAAATAGTGGAAGAAAATAGTCACAACCATATATACCAAAGGATACAATTAAAAAAATGAACACATATTTAATTGTATCCTTTGGTATATATGGTTGTGACTATTTTCTTCCACTATTTGATCTGAGGAAGTGGGTCTGGCCAACGAAAGCTCATCATCTAATAAACCATCTTGTTAGTCTTTAAAGTGCTACATTGTCCTGCATTTTGCTTCTACACAGAAGTGAGGTTCAGCCTGGCACTCCCATATCTAATCATCAGTAAGACTGACACAGACAGAGTCCAGAATAAATTTAAACTCATACTATAAATTTGAATAGACACAGCAGTTAACGACATAAATAACAACCCCTGACACTTTGTGTCACAAAGCCAACCCACACCCACGAACAAATAGAAGATAGTAAAAAAAACCCAAAAGGTAAACAAATTTACAATTGGTAGGTGGTACAATGGAGTAACCGGACAGGATTCAGGTAAGTTGCTCGGGACCGTCAACCCTAGGACTACTGATAGCTGTTGGGGAGGAGCACCGAGTGGTCCCTCGAGGATTCTAGATGGTATTAGAACATTTCTGGAAAGGCCTGGGCCTTCGCCGCAGCAGTGCAAAATGTCCACAAAAGCTCCTCTCATTTTTAGTTTCACTGATGCTTGGGCATTCACCACAACTCAGAAACCCAGACAGCTGAGGTGTTATCCAGCTATGATAGTGAGGACCCTTAGTCTCTAGGGGTATGTCTACACTACCCCACTAGTTTGAACTAGCGGGGTAATGTAGGCATACCGCACTTGCAAATGAAGCCCGGGATTTGAATTTCCCGGGCTTCATTTGCATAAGCGGGGAGCCG